GTGCATATGGATGGCTGGTCCTGAGTTGAAAAGCCCCTCCTTATCCTCACCAATTCCTCTTTCAATTCTTTGCATAACAAAGAATCAAAATAGTTTTCATATAAAATTTTCAAATATTATAAAATACAATTAAAGCTTAATTTAATTAAATCAAATATTGCGAACAACAATGTTTAAAAATTTAACTAAAACAAAAGAAACCTTTTAAATCAATTTCTTTGGTGCATCTGTCACCTTCGTCCTTATTGGCTGCCGACTCAAAGACCTCATTAATATTCATGGATTCCTCATCCTGATTGGTCGAGCCATTTGACATACTGATTGGGCTATAACAACTGTTATAGACTGTATCTTTAACCTCATTTGTCGGTTTATCGTCATCATTTGTATCCATGACAACATCGTCGTCCAGGTCAATCTTATCATTATCCTCATCGCCATCTTTCGAGATTCGATCATTACCAGGATTCACTTCAACACCATTACTATCAGCCTCCCCAGTGATGTCATCATTCTTACCGTATTCTCTAAAATCATCATCATCATTCTTTTTGACATCATCATCATCATCATCGCCAGTTAAGTGAGTGATGGAGCGCGAGTGAATGACGGATTGCTGCTGGCACGACAGATCCAGCGGCTCTGCATAAATTATAATAAATTATGATAATAATAACAATAACGATGAAGAAGATGAATAATAGTCTAACCTAATTGGTTCTCAATAAAGCCAGTAGCATCACCACTACCAATATTCTTGCTACCGTTGTCGTCGTCATCATTATAATCATCATCGATATTGTTATCAGCATCACCATAACCACAATTATTATTATTATTATTATTATTATTATTATTATTATTACTACTACAACCATCATCGCCATCTTTACATATCACTAGTTTAGATTCAGAATCTTTCCTATCATATTTCACATCATCGTCATCATTGCATTCATTACCGTGACCACCAATGTCTTCATCTTCACCATCATCATCATCATCAACAACCTTTTCAACACTGCTATTAATATTATAATTAATATCATTATCGTCGTTAAGATTGTTAATGTCTTTTAAAACGATTGAGGCTTGTAAAACTGACGACGACGACGATGATGACAATGATGATGATGACGTAGGCAATGACGATGATGATGACGACGACGATGATGATGAAAACGAGGTTAGGGTAGATAGCAAGGGCATGAAGGTCGGATCTAGTTTCTTGTACCTAATGAAACTTTCAACTAGAGACCTGTTGCTCAACAAACTCGTCAACTGCTTCATGCCATCATCAGACAATGAGGGTAATAACGGAGGTACTGATGACGATGATGATGAAGGCAGTGCTGATAATAGTGAAACTGGAGGAGATGATAATGATGATGATGATGACGTGAATAGGGAGACGGTTGTAGTAAATGATACCTTTAGCTGCTGTTGTTTTGATTTATAAACTGATTGTGATGATGATGATGACGACACCGATGATGATGAGGATGATGATAAAGTTAATGATGATGATATCAGAGATTGTGATGATGATAGCAAGAATGACGATGATGATGACGACGTAGACGTCGATGAGAAAAATTGAGGTGGAAATAGATGAGGGATAAAAATAGGTTTAGGTGACGAAAATGATGATGAAGAAGAAGAAGAAGAAGCCGACAATGATGATGGTGGTGTCGGTATGATGAATGCAAGTTGGTGGACAGGCGGTGACGACGATGACGTCAGCGATGACGCCGATGATGAAGTTGGCAGGATAATTGCATAGGCAGGAGCCAGAGAAGATGACGAAGATAGCAAGGATGGTGGTGATGAAAACAAAGCTGATGACGACGATAATGAAAATGATAACGAAGCTGGCAGCTTGAAGACTGGATTCAATTTAGCTTGAGATGATGACGATGTTGCAGCAGCAGCAACAGCAGCTGTTACTGATGCCACGTCATTTTGTAGTTTCGCCATTTTCAATTGAAATGTTGCTGAATTGTTGATGTTATTGTTCTGCAGCAATTTCAATCCAAGCTGCTGCTGTATCATTAAATTCTTATTACGCACACTATCAACATCCGTCTCAACATTCTTCAGCGTCGTTGGCAGCAACAACTTCGGCTTCTGAGGCGCTTCAAGAGATTGAGGCTTGTACTGCTGCTGCGGCTGCTGTTGACCTGAATTCTGCTGCTTATGACCTATTTTCTGAAGCTGCTGGTCGATAGATTGTTTGATTTGATGCTGACTCAGAAACTGCTGCATTTGACCTACATTTTGCTGCTGCTGCTGCTGACTCAGAAACTGCTGAGATTGACCTATATTCTGCTGTTCCTCTTTTCGTTTCAGCTTTTCATCTGCCTCCACGAACAAAGTGGCCATTCTAAGAATGAACAGCTTATTTTGATCGTCAGTACTGCCACTACACAACTTATTACCACCACCGACTTCACCATTACTATCCTCGGTGTTATCTCTATTTCTATCACCACAATCACCATCATCATCGTCGTTGGCCAGTAAGTGACCGTTACTGATGTTAATGCCCTTTTGGTCTTCCATGGGCACGTTATTTACAATGGCTACGTCATCGGTGCTGCTGACGTCATTAGTGACGAAGTTTAGAGGAATGGCGATGTTGTTGGTGTTGTTGTTGATGATGTTGACGTTGTTGTTGTTGCTGTTGTTGTTGATGTCACTATCCCACTGTTGTTGTTCAACGTTCTTTTGAAATTTTTTCATTTTCGTCTGCTTCGATCGACAAGATCTTGAAAAAATTTTGACTGGGCTAATGAATTGGCCACAAACGCAAATGAAAATATGAAATACCATCGCCATCACCATCGTCATCATACGCCACAACTACACCACCACCACCACCACCATCACGGACATCATCCTCATCATCACCATTATCATCATCATAAACTTCTTCATCATCACTGTCATCACCTATGTACCTTTGAGTATAGTCACCATAATCAGTGTCATCCTCCATGGAGGAAAATAATTCAACCGTCAGTGGTATCATGTAACTACCACCACCACCACTACTACTACTATTACCATAATTATCTTTATTATTATTATTGTTGTTATTGTTATTAGTGACGTCATCCTTATGGCAGATAACGTCATCATACTTATTGTTATTATTATTATTATTATTTATACTATTGTTGTTGTTGTTGTTGTTGAAAGATTGATTGCCTGTTGCTGCATAGCATACTGCATGGAAGAACAGTAATAATAATAATAAATAATAATAAATAATAATAATAATAAACTCTTAAAAGAAAATTTCCTAACCTAAAAATAGAAAGCGAAAAAACATTCAGCATCTCACATAAAAAAAAAAATCCAAAAATCTCAAAATGGAAAGTGAAGGCTAGGCTAAAATTGAAAGTAATAAAGCCAGGCAAACATGCACACACACAACATGTAGGTACGTACCATTATCTAGAAATCTGTAGCTCATCTGTATGTAGAGTGTAAAAATCAATTTAAAAAAACCAAGTGAAGAACATTTATGAGGGCTCATAAAATTTTGCCTTAATTATACATTATTAATAACAATAAAAATAGTAAGAACTGTGGGTGCCAAACATCCTTATGTAGCCAAATCAAGGTCATTTATAAATATATAAATACATGTTCCTACACAATGGTATACACGTGTGTGTGTGTGCGTGCGTGTGTGTGTGCAGCGTATGCGAAGCAGATGTGTGCGTGCATGTGTCTGTGTGTACATGCATATATTTGACTATGAAATTAATACAATTCAGCTACTGTAAGTAGTTGATGAAAACTAATGAAAAAAAAAAAGAAAAAGAAACTGCAACTGAAAAACATCCAGAAAATGAAACTGAAAAATACCCAAAACGAAAAATTACTTACACTAGAAGAGTAGTGAGGAAGAGCATCATCTTCATCATCGTCGCGAGCATCATTGCTGGTATTGCATTTTCTCTTTCTAGTTCTACTCTTAAAACCAGAGTTTGAAGCCCCATCATCGTCGTCGTCATCATCATCGTTGTTGTTGTTGTTGCTGATGTTGTTGTTGTGTTTGTTGTCGCTGTAATCATCATCACAATCATCGATTTCGTATTTTTCATATTTCACCGTTACATCGCCATTATTGTTACCGTTGTTGTTGTTGTAAGCGTTATTAATGTTAGCTATAACGTTGGTGTTGTTGTTGTAGAATCCTGTGCTGCTGTTGTTGTTGTTGCTGCTGCTGTTGCAGTTCTGTGTAATCTTATTCTGTTGTGGAATAATAGAAATAATCGCAAATAAATATGAATAAAAAAATTAAATGAACAGCAAATCCTAAAAAATAAAATAACTTATTCATCCTGTTTATTTTTAAAGAATAAAAATGGAATTAAAATGCATTAAAATGCATTAATGGAAAGATTGAAAAACAAACATACAAAAGAGTGAGTGCATGAATGAATCTACGAACGAATGAATGAGTGAGTGAACGAATAAATGAATGATTGAACAAATCAACCAACCAATTAAAGATTACCAAAAAAACATTTAATGAAGTAAACTCCTTAAACTAAAATCACATCACCTACATATAATGCATGTATGCATTAATGTATGTATGTATGCATGTGTATGTTTGTTTGTAGATAGATAGATAGATAGACAGACAGACAGAGAGACAGACAGACAGACAGATAGATAGAAAACTACAAACTTGACATATACAAACTTAGCAATATATAAAAAAAGTTACCCTTAGAAACTTGTTAACAGAGATTAAATTGTTGCTGTTCTTGCTGGAACCTTGTGGATGGCAATCTACCAAGTGATTTAAATTGTGTTTGGTGATTGTTGATGTTTTACAATGTCATGTCATTCAATGTTAACGTAATCACACCTTAATGATATGTAATATTTGTTGCAATTGCATTCATTCATTCATTCACTCATTTATTCAATAGAAGGCACACTCCTAATTAGCTATAACCCTAATCCTAAGCATATAGCTAACCTTTTTTATTTTTAAACCTATAAACTTTATAAGGTTCTTCCCCCTGGCACGAGTGCTTCGACTTCATCTCTTCGATGTCTGGTGCCTTGTTGAAGGCACACCTCAGACGAGTTTTCAGTTTTGCAAAATTAGGCGAACTGTCCCCGCGACTCCATCTGCCCGTGTTTTTTGCCCATTCCTGTTTCATTCACGTGTGTGTGTTAGAATTTTGATCGGTGTACTTTTCAAGCATTTATTAAAAGTATAAGTACAACACACACACACACACACACAGACACACACACACACACAAACACACACACACAACAACAACAACAACAGCAACGACATCAAAAACAGCAATGACAACAACAGCAAAGAACAAATAACAAAGAACAAACGAGGAAAACGCTGCTGTGCTTGAGCGACCAGTCCTTCTTGCTTCTGTGCTTCCAGGGCACTTTGAACATTGTCTTCTCTGGGAATTATTCATTCATTCGCAATTTATTCATTCAATCGATCCATTATTATTCATTCATTTACTCACTCATTCATTCATTCATCATCATCGGCATGAAAAACAGCACATCCCTAAAACAACGACGAACCAGCGTCCATCCACTCGAGTCCTTCGATGTTGCCATCTTCCAGATTCTTCTCCAGCCAGGGACGTAACAGTATGCGGCCGGGTCTGTTGTCGTCGGTCAGGCACGTATCCATCGATGATGACGTCATCGCCGATAATCTTGCATTACGATTTGTATTATTATTATTATTATCATTATTACCATTGTTTGTAAGTCTTTGTATCAGCGGTAGTTTAATATCTTGCTGGTAGTCACATTTATTGTTACTGTCATCATCTGAAGATATGTTAGAGTTGGTGTGGCTGGCGTTGACGCTGCTTCCACTGAGGTTGTTGTCGTTGTTGTTGTTGTTGATGTACATCAATGGTGTTTTTGGTACGGAACTCAAGTACTGCTGTTGAAATTGATGTAGTTGTTGACGTAACCGCTGCGGCAGTTGCTGTGGCAGCGACTGCTGTGGCAGCGACTGCTGCGGCAGTTGTAGTTGTTGTTGCAGGAGTTGTGGTTGTGGGAAAGATTCCGGCGACAGCTGGATGGCTTGGTTATCTCCATTTATCAGCACTACGTTCATGATGTTGCTTTTACTTTGTCAGTGAGGAGGAGAATATTGCATAAGTTTGAAGACTCTAACACAATTATGCACAGCAATTATGTACAGTTCTTTGTATCTTTATCTTTCTGTCCTCCTATAAAAAAAGAATAGGGATGTGATGTGAATAACACTATCAATTGCCCATTAACTAATGAAAATTTCTTAAGACAAGTAGTATATACAGTGAAAAAGAGAGATAGAGAGAGAGAGAGAGAGAGAGAGAGAGAGAGGGAGAGAGGGAGAGAGAGAGTGAGAGGGAGGGAGAGAGAGAGAGAGAGGGAGAGAGAGAGAGAGAAGTAAAAACAATTTAAACTGAAACATTTAAAATTCCCCCCTAAATGACACATCACAAAATTTACACACATACATCAGTCAGTAAGCACTAAGCAATAGACTAGTAAGTAAGCAAGTAAGGAAATAAATTCACACACCTATTAATAAACTAATCAATTAATCAATTAATTAATTGCTAGTTCTTTACACACAACTCTTAATTACTCTTCACACACGCCGCACACACACACACAAACACAGTCACGTTGCAAGATATAGGATTGCAATTGAAAACTTTTATGGAATTAACAATATTTTAGATTGTAAAAATGAAAAAATGAAGAAAGATATATGTGTACCCACACACAAACACACACAACCACATATATATATATAATATATATATATATACATATACATATATATATATATATATATATATATATATATATATATGAGATGTGTAAAATCTATGGATCAAAATTTTAATTAAACTTTTCTAAAGAAACTATTTTCCAAATGTGATGTAATGGAATTCCCAGAAATCTAAATACAGTTCACCTATTGATTGCTGTTTAAGTTGTAACAGGCTGGCTAGCAGTTATTGGCTTGCATCATTGTATCATATAATTAAATTAAATTTTTATCTATTTTATTTATTTATTTATTTACTTGCATTTATTTATTTATGATGATTAAATATACGCCAGTTTACACACACACACACACACACACGCAAACACACACACACACACGCATATGTATACATACACACATACACGCGCGCACACACACACATATGTATAGATACATACACACCCATTTAATAAGAACAAAATAGGATGGTGGCATTTTACTTTCGATTTTCTAGCTGCTTATACAATAGTCATCCTTATATTTTGCTGACATACATACATACTTACATACATGCATACATTTCAGTTACTGTAAGATAACAACTACATGCATATATTAATATATATTATATATACAACAGACACACAGATACACACACACACACACACTCACACACAGATACAGACATAAATATTAATAAAAATTACATATATTAAACTTACAAACATACGTAAACATATCAAATACAATTATCAAAACATAAATAAATACATACATGCAAACATACAACCATACATACACATACATGCATACACATACATACAACCATACATACATACAAACACATATACATACACACACACACATTTATAGCATTCAGGCGTGCATTCTAAGTCCTACACTATCAAAATATTACTTTCATTTTCTTTCAAGCCACATTCCAGAATGTCATGATGAGGTTGTTATTCTTAGCATTACTACTACTACTACTAATACTACTACTGCTACTACTACCGCTACTACTACTATAAAAATATTACTGAATTACTAATAAATGAATACAAATAAAAATAAATGAATACCATGAATATTGTGATACTAGGATTACAGACAAAACTACTCTCACCACCTTTGAAAAACTTCAGTAATGACGGATATAGCATGATAGTATCAGTATCATATATCAGGAGGAATGATGGATATAACATGGTAGTATCAATACGGCATGATAGATACAACAATAGTATCATCATCATCGTCGTTGTCACTGTCCTTTACATGCTATTATTTATTTGTCATTCATTATCATTTAGCAGAACTTAACATTAGCACAACTAGACAGCTGAACAATGCAATGATGATCTGATTATCATCTGCTGTCTGCACTGTATTATCGTGGTGATATTTCAGTAAAATGAATGAATTAAATGAGTGAATGAATGAATAAATAATAAAAGATAGATAAACAAACAGACAAGTCATTAACCAAGGAATGAACAAGCAAACAAACAAACAAACAAGCAAACAAACAAACATACAAATAGCAGATCGATCAAATGATGAAATAATGAATGAAGCATTTTGAAATACAGGTGGGACAACAACAACAACAACAACAACAACAACAGCATGCACGCTAATAATAAATTGGAATTAGAAAATGAATGTGTGTCTACTGATCGCTCTCTCTATACTAGACAAACACACACACAGAGACACAGACATACACACGTGTGTGTTTCTGTGCATGTGTGTTTCTGTATATACGCACCTGCTATTTTAAAATAATAAAACATCTGCAAAAGATAAAACAAACCATGACGTTATCATTAATCAATTTTTCGTTAATAATAAAAATTTAGTCTTATAAAAACATTAGAATCGTATAGATAGATAGATTACATTAGGATATATCATATTAGATATATTATATAACAGATATAACTGATATATCATATCAGATATATTATATAATATATATATATATTATATATCAGATATATCATATCAGATATATTATATTGTAATTATATAATAATTATATAGTACAGATGTCAAAAAAAGATAAAGAATAAAATAAAAACCTCAAATTTATTTAAGAAAATCTACTGGGGTCAATATCGTTATCTGTGGGGTTTGGAAAATTAAATAAAATCATCAAAAAATAAAATCATTAAAAAAATAAAGTCATCAAAAAGAAAAAAAATCATCAGAACCAAATCACGATATCCTGTCCAGATACCATATTACATACCATACCAAAAAAACCATATCATTTAGTTTTAGATTTAGATTAGCATTAGATTTAATTTAATAAAAAATAAAAGATTATTATAGTAAAATATTTTAAATTAAATCAAGACAAAATTTTGAAAAAAAATTAAATAAATATATTAAATATACATTTTATATTTTATTTTTTTTCAGAAATTGTTTTTATTTAAATAAATTAAATGAATGGATGTTTGGCCTACAAAGTTACAAAAAGTCTGAAAGAGAAACAAAGAAACAGGCAAACAAACAACAAAACAAAATGAAACAATCAAAAAACCGGACAAACCGAAAAAAAAGAAATTAGATTATAAATACAATAAATCGAAAGTAAATTCGAAAATTTTTTTCAGACATTTAAAAAAATAACTTTCGAAAACAAAAGTGAAAAATTTAATAAAAAAAAAGGCAGGAGGTGGCTTCACATGAGTCCAGCAACTACGCAGGCCACTAATTTATTATTCAAAAATACAATCAAAACGAATAAATTAATAAAATTAAACACGCCAACCTTTTTTTATTCCAATAATTTAAATTTTAAACAAAATAAACAATTTTTCGATAGCTTTGAGACATTTTTCGACAACTTTTAATGGAAATTTTCAACGAAGTCGACAAATTTCCTATGTCGGTTTCATTTCTTTCGAGTGTGAACTATAATTAGCAACCAATCAGGCTCTGTAACAAAGATTCTAAATATATTTTTCATCTTTTCTTCCCTTTAACCTCGTCATTCAGCTCCATTGTAATTTTACGATTTAAAATCCACTAATAGTCAAGATGTAGATGTTAACTCTACTAACTGCTAATTTGCCATCACTATTCGAAACATTTCGTAAAATAAAACTGATCTTACAAGCACGTGCGCATCCCTTTGATTTTTTTTATTCAAAAAACACAATGTTACCACTAATTTCATTTATTTAATTATATATAACGAAACAAAGTACTCATTTTAAAAATTATACAAAACTTTATGGAATCGATTAACAGACGAAATCCAGACTAAAGTTACTCTTACATGAAATTAATTTTCTGTCATTTAATATTCCACTTAGGATAAGTTAACTTTAATACCCTCACAATTAAATAGTTGTTAAATTTATGTAATTTAGTAACTCTACTATGATCAATGCTATTAATGTTTGCAAATTATTATTCTCAATCTTAGCAAATATTATCATAGTTAAAGAAGCATGAATCAATTAAAATTAATACTTGAAATAGAAAAATAAATGGCAGGACAATACAGCCTAATGTAGTAACTCAATGATATGCATCAAACTAACCATTACTTTGATCATTTTGATTTACATTTAAACTAGCATTGAGAAAAAAATCCCTTTAATTAAAAGAAAACAGAATAGAATAACTAAACAATTAACGATTATACATTACAAATTGTATGTAATGTATAATTACATACAATATGTAACACCGACATTAAAAAACGAAGTGCTATGAAGAAAAAATAAAAACAAATTCAAATATTAGGAATTAGGAGATTGGACAATATTATGTGCTATTAATGACGTTGATAATGACAATGATGGGGATTGATTTGTTGTTGTGATGTTTGTAGGTTGAGTTAGTTTTGTTGTTGTAATGCTGGACTGACTACTAGTGTTTGATGATTGGTCAACAATGGCAGCCGGCTGTACAAATGGTGCTTTGTGATTGGCTGCCAGCATGTGATTGACAATTGGTGGCTGGCCGACGGGAGGTGGATGAAAATTTCGACAATTCAGTCCGAATTTGCAGGTTCCCATGAGATAATGGGTGCAGACGGGTTTCGGCGGGCCTGTAGTAAATGTCGAGAAGAATAACAATTTCAATCAACTGATCAACCTAACTAATAATTTTAATATTTTCCGTCATAAAACAATGAAGCAACAACAAAAGCAAACAAAAAATTTTAAAAGAATAAAGATTATTAGGACGTGTAATTTCTATTTCAAAAGTTAATTAGTTAACGTTCCTAAAAAAAATGTCGTTTCGTGGCTTGTACTCGAGTTTTTCCGAATTTGAATATGAAAAACATTTGAAAACACACCTCGGTACCATTTAGCTACAATTTCAAACATCTTAAATTTATTTCGCTTGATTAAACTTCAGTCAAAAAAATACTCACTGAACCAGAAAAACGAACTTTTTAACAAATTCTAGTATCACGATTCAAAAATTTAAAACGAAACCAAAAGCTGAATAATTTAAAAGTGAAAATAATAATAAATAAATCAAAATTAAACACGAGTGAAAGAGCCTTCACAACGCCATCATGCCAACAAACAACCCGTCACATTCTGACTTCCTAGAACCTCGTTAAACCATCAAGACCTTCTACAATTTACAACCCTACTTCTCTATTTTATAAATTTTGATGTAACAAACACAATTAAGTCGGACTGAAATACTACACGTTGACGCTAAAAGATGTTATAACCCTGGTATTGTAGGCATTTTAACCACGGATTACATAAATATTATTTCCATGATTTTAACAACAGATTGCCAGAGAAATCTAATATAGATGAGAGAGAGAGTTCATGTTTTATTAACTAAATGACATAAACAGAAGAAAAATAAACTTGGAACAATGAGATCTTAACTGAATGAAGATTCGAAAAAGGAGAACAAGGAACTGAAAAAAAAATATCACAACAAAAACTAAACGACATTAATTCTCAGAGTGAAGAACAATTAATTTTTCATTAAACAACAACACAGGTAACAAAATCAATCAATCAATTATTCAATCAATTATTCAATCAATCAGTCAAGCATTAAACAAACTCCCGATTGTTAATTAAAAAACGGGCTTATTTATACAACCTTAAAGTTAATCAACCCAATAACTAAATCAACCAATCAATCAATTAATCAACCAAATAATCAAACTCAATCAATTAATCATATAATCAATCAATCGCATAATCAATCAATCAGACAGGTAGACAGACAGACAGACAGACAGAGAAAAAGACAGACAACCAAACAAACGATCAATCATCTTTTAGGAATGACTTTTTTAAAAAGAGATTCCCTCATCAACCTACCAGGTGGGTACTGCATCATCGGCGGCATGACTCCCCTCATCATGGGAATGGGTGGGAAGGGAGGGAAGCCAGGGGGCGGTGGGAACATCATAGGGGGCATCATACCGGGGTGCGGTGGCATGGGCATACCGTGACCGTCCTAAAAAAAATTTTTGAAAATTTTCTATATACAAAAGTACTCAGCAGCAACCTCTAAACAAACAAAAATGAATGAATGAAAGAATGAATGAAAGAAAGAATGAAAGAATGAATGAGCTCGTTAACAAACAAACAACACAACAACAGCAACAACATAAAAACAACAACAACAACAGCATAAACAATATCAAAAATTACTGCCTAACCATAGCCATCACATTAGGCATTGGATACATTGGACCCCAGGGCATAACCAGGCCAGCCTGCATTGTACCACCCCCGTTGCCACCTGGCGATAACTCGACATCAACAATACCAGACGTAGTATTATTACTACCTGTATTATTAGTAGTAATGGAAGTATTAGTAGTAGCAGTGGTAGCAGCAGCAGAAGCAGCGGTAGCAGCAGCAGAAGCAGCGGCAGAGGTAGTAGTAGCAGCTGTCTGCATTGGAAATAGTGCTATAGAATGTTGTTGGTTAGATGGTGTTGATGATGAGGCAGATGATGATGATGTCGTCACCGCCGATACTGCTGTTGTTGTTGTTGCTGTTGTTGTTGTTGTTAGTGTACCATGCTCGAATAAAACTTCACTGTTCTGACTTGTTATCTAAATATATATATATTATCATAATTAGTTAATGTGAATAAATTATGAAAATTAGAGCAGTATTGTAATATTTGAATGAAAAACAAAGAATTACGTCATGAAGAGGAATGATTTTCGGTTCGTGTACGTCTACAAATTCCGCATCTGCTTCGGCCGGGTGGTCCGGTATCCTGAATAAATTATGTTAATTAGTTATTTACTATAAATAGACCATGCAGATTAGTAACTATAAATAGATTGTACCAATCAGTTACTCTCGCTAGAAACAGATTAGGCTGAGCTAGCAATCGAAAATAGACTCTGATGCTAACTAAAATGAACACTTTATTTTATGACAAACACACACAAACACACAAGGACACACACAACACACACGGACAAACACACACAGAGACAGGCATACAAACAGACAGAGAAAAAGTGAGGACCAACTTAACTTACATACAACGAGAAAAGTAGATAACTTGAAGGACATTCTGTTCCCTAATCATCTGGATCTTCCTCTGGGAGCTGTTGCAGCCCGGCTCGACCAGGCTGATGCTACCACTAAGGTACAAAGGTCGGTGCCACTGCAAGGTGAACAAGATCAATAATATCAAAAAAGTAATAATAATAAAAAATAATAATAGTAGTGGTAAAAGTAAGAATGATAACAAACGAATCAAATGTCTGAAATAGTTTCAGTTATCCACCAGGAGACAGAAGAGAACCACAAGCACGCAGTCGAACCTGGGACTTGACGATGACATTTTCATCTGAAAACATCTTCCTGGCATTCTGAAACATCCTATGCTCCATCTCTATCTCATGCCTCAGCGTTTCGGCAAAGTCCACGCTCTTGTTGACATTCACTAAATGGTTGGTGGTGGTGAGTATAAATATATATATATATAATCATGTTATTTCTACATACTGTTTAACACTTTCTTCTCTCTCTCTCTCCCTCTCTCTCTTTCTCTTTCTCTCTCCCTCTTACAATTAAAAGTAAACCCAAAAAACCTCGTTCTGATTCGTTCATTTGGAAGAAGAAGTATGTACACAGGGAGGCATCATCGGCCCACTTCACCGACTTCCTCTTCCTCTTATTGGCTGATGATGATGATGATGTCGATCTCCTGAGACGATTGGCTGCTGATGCTGCTGTAGATGTTGTGTCCATCCTGTTGTTATCTGTCGTTTTTAGTATTTTTGTTGCTGTGGTTGTTGCTGTTGTTGTTACTGTAGTTTATTCAATATAGGGTTTTGATAAATATTCAACAAATTTGCTGTAGGTATTCAACCAATCAGTCAATCAGTAGCCCAATCAATCGGTCAATCAATCAATCAATCAATCAACCTTCATTATCGGACTTTGCATCTTCATCCTCTCTCCTACTGAGGTTGTTGTTGTTGTCAACAGTCTCATCAACATCGTTATCGTCGAAGCTACTGTTGTTGTTGTTGCTGTTTGATGGTTCTGTGCCAGTCCTCTATAACATGAATGATAAAGTAATAATAACAACTATAATATAATTTTACGTTAAATCATAATAATGATAATAATAATAGTAATAATAATAATAACAGCTGACAAGTAGATTGACCAATTGGTGAGCTGATTGACTGCTTGATTGACTGCCTGATACCAACAGCACAAATACAAACACACTAACATTATTACAATTATTGTTGTTATTCGGGCCTTCTCTCTTCCTATTGGTCAGTTTCGGCTTCTTCCGCCTCTCAAAGGTGGGACTTAACGATGACGTCAGAGCACTCATGAAGCATGAAGACGACGATGACGTAAAACCCGATGACGGTGGAGAGAGAGAATCTGTAAAAAAATAAAAATAACAAAAAATATGAAAAACAACAGTAATAATAATAATAATGTTAATAACAATGACGGCATCGACCTTGAACTTTTCCTCCTCTCTGGGGTAAGACTTTGACGGATAATTTGACATTGGATGAGGACGACGACGACGATGTGGTGGTTGATGATGGCGTAGGTGATGATAGCGACGTGGAAAATCTGTCTATTGAATTGTCTGCGGGACTGGTTTTGAATGGAATGAATAACTACCAGGACAACAACAACAACAACAGCAACAACAACAACAGCTACAACAACAACAACAACAGCAACAACAACAGCAACAACAACAGCAGCAACAGCAACAACAACAACTACTACAGCTACAACAACAACTACAGCTACAACAACAACAACAGCGACAACAACAACGATAACAATAATAACAACAACAGTAATAATAATGACAATAATTTTGAAAAAATTTTGAAATAAAGCAAGAATAATATGTATGGGGGAAATATGTACTTTGAATTCTGTCTTTTAATTGCTGGGAGGAAAAAAATAAATAAAAATGATATTAATTATAAATAAATAAATATTTAGGGAAAATAATAAAAAATAACAATAACAATTAAATAATAATAATAACCCGACATCAACTCAATTTATTAATAACAGATACAGACAACAAATAAATGAAAAGCTTAATAATTACTATTGTTATTATGTTTCCCTGATAAATTTTCATTATTATTATTATTATTAGTAGTAGTAGTAGTAGTAGTAGTAGTAGTAGTAGTATTGTTGCCGATATGATCATCATCCTTTCTGTCTTTTTTCTTCCTCTTCCTTCCTTCTTTATCGATCTTTGTTTCATCTTGAGGAGAATAAAGCAAGGAAATAAATCGACATAGTATTACTGATAACGATACAGATGATGATGATGATCAAAGTGATGATAATGATACCTTTCTGCTGCTGATGATGATGATTTGCGGTAAATTTCGACATCCAGTCACTGATGATGACTTTCGACAGAGCGCTTATTTCTGGGCATATTAAAACCACAAAAATATTAATTATAATTATAAATAATAATATTAACTATAATTGTAAATAATAATAATACAATATTAACTATAATTATAAATAATAATGATAATACCATCGTTTGTAGATTTAATCATTCTTTTAATGATCTTTGCAGAACCATTCTGCTTCATCATATCAACAGTTACTGGGATTTTCTTGATTAATTTTAATAAATTGATGATGAATTCACTACTACTGTTATCATTATTGTTATTATTATTATTGTCATCGTTATCGTCGACGTCATCATCATTATCAAGATCACTGCTTCTCCTTCGCCTCTTCTTATACGTCTGCAACCATTGAAAGCATCTCATCCATCCATCATTTGCCAAAAATCTTGATGGCGGTGATGAATTAAGATTACAAAAGATTATAAATAAGTGTTATGTATAAATATATACATATATATATATACACAGTTATTAACAAATAAGACAGTCTGAACCCAAATATATATATATATATATTATGAATAAATATGGATAAATTATCATAAAATTAATTGATCCTTAAATTGTGGGACTACATCATATTAATTAAGTTGGTTTACAATTAATTAATAACTGCTAAGCCAAGACACCACAAATAAAAATACAAAATTCGTTTTCAATAAATAATGAAATACTCTCATTTAAATATAATTTTTTTGTTTAAAAAAAAATAATAATACAAATATTAAAAAATTTATACTTTTCCATATGAAAAGTACAAGGTTGGCCATCATCACTATGACCACCATCGGCATCATTATCAAGATTCTCCAGTAACTCTTTAACATAAACCTCCTTGTGTCTGTCAAAGGAATGGTTATAAAAAAATAATTTGACTATATGAGTATGTATATAAATAATATAGTTTATTTATATATTTTAAAAATATATGCACAAACCTGATACTATCGTCAAAACCCCCATCTGCATGTTCTTCATTTTCTCCATTGGCCATATCAACGAATTCTTCTGCTTCACATTCTATCACCTCAATTGAGGAATCAAAAAGAGGTTCAGCAGCTGACAAATCAATGAACTCTTGGTCCATTATTTTTTAATGTGTGTACTTTTGAGTGCTGTAGATTGTTGTATGTTTGAGAGGTTGTTAACTATTTTGATTGTAAATAATTGATAATTCATGATAAATTTTGTTAAAAAAATTTTTCAAATAAATTATTTTGAATATTGGAATTAAAATTGACAAAAATTGTTTATTAACAATAAATGACAATGCAACGAAAAATAAAACAAATGCACGTTACAAAATCTGACACAAAACGTTACAAACATTAGCCAGCGATGACAAAGAAACAACTGAAAGAAAAGAAGGTTGCCATTTTAAAAAAAAAAGTTAGGACAAAGATCGCTCTCATAAGCGATTGAGGTTTCAAATAATCAGGCATGCTGTATAAAAAGACGATGAGAAGAAACAACAACAAAACAATATCGTAACACATTTTGGCAAAAACTGACAAATAAAAGCAAAAATTTAGAAAATAAAGTGGCGCAGCCATATTACATTTCAGTCATTAACTATTTTTTTAATACAGGATTACACATCTGGTCGTCAGGCATACGAAGTAAGTTGAGTTTATAGAACAACTAAAACGACTATAATTACCAAATTAATAATAAATTAAATATTTAAATAGTTAAATATTTAATCTATAATTCAACATATGCAAACAACAAGTTCAACCTATGAATCCCACATGTATCACACTTTGATGATTTGTATGTTTTATTAAAAAAATTATTTAAATAACTCAAAATTTATTATCAGAATTTCAAAAATTGAATAAATTTCTAATTAACTTCAATTAAAATGCTAAGTCAACGCCGCAAAATTATTTAATAAGAGCACGTGATTTATTTTTATACATTTAAAAGTAAATTTAACAAATGACCATTCATTCGTTTATAAATATTTAGTACTTTTCGCGAGTTTCGTTTTAGTGAAATTTAGTTGAAAAAATAAAAATAGTTTCATCTCTTCTAGATCACTATTTGATTGATTAGTGGATGAGTGGGCGTTGCTTTTGATTTTTGGTCCAATTTGAGATTTGAGGCCTCTTCAGTTTGGTTTTTTTTTTTGAACAGGTAAGCCATGATATGATGATTGGCAAGGTAGAAAGAAATGATGTAAAATATTTAAATTTAAATTATAAAAATTAAATTAAATATGGAGATTTCCTAATTTTATTATCTGCAGAGTTAATTGAATTAGTTATAAGAAAAAGGTGTATTAAAAGAGTATATTATCTTCTTTTGTCTGATTGAATGATGATTTCTTATTAAAAAAAAAGTTTGATTAATAGTTTTCAAATTTTTTTTTTAGAAGAAGCAGTAATTGCCTGCCTAATAGGATTGGTGACAGATTAGTGAATTGGTTAATTAATTATATACATAGGGATAGGCACACTACAAAATGGATCATAAAGACCTTCTTACTACAGAGTATGGCTTGTTATTTCAACAGATCATTAGTGATTTGAAGGTTACTTAATGTTACTTTAATATTTAATAATTTCTCTTATTATTATTAATTGGTTAATTAACTAATTAATTTAGTTAAATGTGGGTTTTTAACTAATTAATTTAGTTAAATGTGGATTTTTTTCAATAATTTATTAAGTTATTAATATTTTTGAAGTCATTTATCAAAATTATATTATTTATTTGTATATGAAATTTAATTCTATGCTTTTTACTGGCTAGCATTGTATATTACTTATAGTCTTGTTGTTTTTTTTAGTTTTAATTGAATTTTTTATAAAATAATTATGTAAAGACATAAGATAATAATGATCAAAAGATGTGTGCACATCTACTCAGCTAAAGTTTTCGTGTGTACATGAACAAAATCAATAAATTCAACAAAATCAACATTACAACTATGTATCACTAATCTAATAATTGTGTTTGTTAGGTCAATTATGTCAGATAACACTAATGACTAATCTAATGATTATGTTTGTTATGTTTGTTAAATTGATGAAAGAGAGAGAGAGAGAGAGAGAGAGAGAGAGAGAGAGGAAGACAAGTATTCCACAGACACCACCAAAAATGTCATTCATTTCATGTGTTTATCTCTACAATTATATAACACTGATCAACTCTTTCCTTATCAAACTTCAAACTCCCTCCACTAATTAGGGAAGTTAGGGAAATAATTTACATGAAAAAAGTAACTACAGAATGTAAGCACACCCATGTTAAACCAATATTAAAGAATTGTTGTGATGTGTGTGTGTGTGTGTGTGTGTGTGGCTGAATGTATTTGTTTGTATGTTAAGTTATGCTATGCTATGCTAGTAATAATCTATCTCTTAATTGTTGAAGTTAATTGATAAGGAAATATTTCATTTCAATGACATGTGTGTGTGTGTATATGTGTGTGTGTTTTGTGTGTGTGTACGTGCGTATGTAAGTGTGTGTGTGTGTTCAATTAGTTTTTACTGCAGTCAGATAAGATAAGAATATTGGAAATTTTTCAATTTGCTTCTTTTCATTTATTCATATGCGCGCGCGTGTGTATGTGTGTGTGTGGGTGTGTGTGTGTGTGTGTGTGTGTGTGTAAGTGTGTGTGTGAGTTATTCTGCATAGAATTGAGTGGCAGGTTGTTTTTCAGCAGCAGTTTTTTTTTTTTGGTAGGCCAACTGTATGTTTTTTTTTATTGCCTGTATTCCAAATTCTACTACTACAACAACAACTACTACTACTATTACTACTACTGCTACTTCTACTACTACTACTACTACTGGTAATAATAATAATATTATAAAATAATTATGATTATAATTTTTATTCGTAGGGTAGTTATCCATTGTGGGAAGATTTTACGAAGCAGACTTCTAAACTACAGACTGCCCTTAAGTTTGTCCTTTTACTCTTGTTTATTTTTTGTGGGCGTTTGTGTTGGCGTTTGCATGTATTTGTTTGTGTGTGATTGGTTGTTTGGTTAGCTAATTGGTTGGTCAGCTAATTGGTTGGTCATTTGGTTGGTTGGTCATTTGGTTGGTCGGTCATTTGGCTAGCTGGTTTGTAGGTTGGTTGGTTGGTTGGTTGGTTGATTGGTTATATGCTTAGAGGTATGCATGTCTTTATGTTTGATTTTCTGTGTTTATATGTGTGTATGTCTCTCTGTGTGTGTGTGTTTGTTTGTATGTGTAGGTTTATATATGTTTGGTGTATATTTTATATGTTTATGTGTCTGTTTTGTTTCTGTATTTATATGTTAATTAGTTTGTTAAATGCTTGCTAATGATATAGGTATTTTTAAATTAGTCTTTATTTAAGGTGTGTTGTATGTTTGTGTGTATTCTTGTATGTATTTGTTTGTTTGGGTGTATGTTTATGTGTGTGTGTGTGTGTGTGTGTGTGTGTATGTTTGTATGTGTGTTATGTGTATATGCATGTATTCATGTATGTGTTTGTTTTTTGTGTGTATGTGTATGTTTATGTGTGAAAGTGTGTGTGTGTGCGTGTGCGTGTATGTGTGTTAGGTGTGTATGCAAATTAGATTATATTGGTGTAAATTAACATTGTCAGAAGCCTGATGGGTCTGTTAAGTTGTGATGTTGTTGTCTGGTTTCTGTTGTTTGTATGTTTTTGATGTTAATTTTCTTCTTCCTATCTTTGTCATTAAATTGTTGTTGTTAATGATGACAAATGAAATCATTTTGAGAGAGAGAGAGAGAGAGAGAGAGAGAGAGAGAGAGAGAGAGAGAGAGAAGAAAACAAAATCACATGCTGTTTGTTTACTGTTTGATAAATGGCGCCATTAAAAAGGATGATCAAATCATTGTTCTCTATTGCTACTGCTGATTTTTATCTCTCTATCATCATCATCATCATCTGTATCTACATTATTATCATTAGCACATATAAGTTTGTCATAATTCTTTATATTATCTTCTATATTATTATTAACATCATCTCT